CATGATGAAAACTCATGATAGTCACTAAAATAAATTCAACAGTTTTAATGTACGTTTCAAAGGCTCGTAGTTTATGAGAGATCTGAAAATCTGAAATGACATCGTCATGCTAGAAACTTGAAAACATATAGAAATTAAATTCCTCGCCTGTATCAAAACATTCTACGATATCATTGGAGTTGTTAGTTGCAAAGACTAGCTATCTCAACAAACCAAATACCTAAATATATGAGAGTATATCCCATAACTTCCACATAACATTTCAATCGAAAACCGAAAGCATCCGAGTTGTGGGAACTACAAATAATTCACACGCCACGGTGTCATATTCTGCACTTCGCAGCGGACCAAATTTCTAGTGGGAAACAATGTGGAAATTCTTGACTATTCCGTCTCAAAACTAAACATTTCCAATCGTATTGAAATAGTTTTATTTCAATATAATTAGTGATAATCTTATGGGTTTAATGGTAAAGAGTTTATTAAATGATGCATTATTACGGTTTTATTGACGTAATATTATTATACTATCAAATGCAACTGTGATAAAATAAATTTCAATTTATTTTAACATTTTTTTTTTTGTGAGTACGCTTGATCTTTTATTTGTTTATTTTTTAAACAGGTTAAGTGCCTCTCGAAGTCAATACGCATGCCTTGATTGCCATAGTTGGAAAAACTTATACTTACCTTTATAAGCTAACTGTTCAATTATTTGCTTGGTAATGTGGACCCGGAAGACAATTTGTATTTTTGTTCGTAGTAATACTATGTTTTATTTCATGGAAGACGAAAACGTTTTCAACAATTTGAAATACTATGATAGAACTATTTATTTTTAATATACTGATGTTTGAATATTGTTCAAACAACATGTAATATGTTGTATTATTTTAAAGAATGAACCACTGTTTTATTGTCATTATGAGAACGGGTAAAAACATACCTTTAATGTATTAATCTTATAAATTTTAATATTATTTTGACTCATATGACTGATATATATTTTACAAATAAGTAAATAATAGTGTATTCAACAATAAGTTTAATGGGTAAAACATAATATAGAAATCAAGTAACCAAATACTAGATTTGCAACATAATAATAGGATGCAAATAATTTTTCAACAATTAAATGTTTAATATACTGAATAAAATCCTTGATTTATAAATGAAATAAAATGCACAACTCTAACTCTAATACTGCATATTATATATACATACATTTGGAACGTTTAATTATTTTTTGAAAACATGATAATATATTTAACTTGCTTTTTATGCGCCTACCTTTCCGAATTTCTAACATTTATAGCTTTCTGAATGTCTGATGCGTGCCATTTTATTGGTGGATTTGAATCACAGTATATTATTATTCATGTGAAATTAACTAAATTAAAGCTGTTATAATTACTATTTACTAATACGTATTATATCATATATTATATTATACAGAGTATATTAATTTATGTCTATTTTATATATTATATGTATGTATAGGTACATAGGTACTTATCTATAAAAAAAACATGATCATGTACTGCTTTCAGGGAATTAAAAACTTTTCGTTAAAAGGAAATGCCTTTTCTTCAGACTTGTACAAACGTATAGTGGCTTAACTGCATTTGTTTTAGGAAATTAGATTGTTGAGGATTAAAAGCAGTTAAGGAATGAAACTCGCTAATCAATAAAAACTTCCAAAAATAAAAACAGCAAATTGTATGATCAAAATATTACCTACTCACTGTACATGCTTGTTCGGCGTGAATGTGTGAGTTATGCTTATTTCAATATTATTTGATGGTTGGAACATATAAACATGTTTAAACAACATGAATTTAAAACGAATAAAAATGTTCAACCGTCACTTATAATTTGTGGTAATAGTTTTAAAGTAAATATTGAGAAAGGAATTAATCAGGAGGCCGAACATGTTTACACGCTTTGTATAGGTACATCAAATGAATAGAACTCTGATACTTATTTATTTATATTGTAGAATATCTTAAAATTTAAATTTAAATTGTTTAAGATGCTGCCTACAAAAACGATACTTGTTTAAAAGGAAGGTTTATTGAACTTAAAAATGTTAAGTAGATTAAATTGGTGAAAAGATTCTTGCAATTAAAACACTTTGAGATTTTAAACATTAATAAGAGTTTATACTTTATTTTATACTAACTGCTACTGAATTATGCAAGTAAAAAGGAAAAACTTATCTCACAAAAAAAAAACGCAAATTAATAGTATAAGATATTTATATCATTTTGTCATGCATTAGGTTTTTAAGTTTAATATTACAAATTTTACTTATTTTAAGTTATGGTCATAGTGTTCCTAAACGTTCCTATAAATGTGAATTTCTTTCTTTGATTGTTTAAGATCTCTGAATCCTACTAAAACGTTCCCAAACTAACACATTTAATTCGTTAGATCGTGTGTTTCATTGAGTATAAATGGAGTGCCCTTTCTTTTAGAACGAAACGTTAGTTCTCTTCATTTTTTTAAAACATTTAATATAGTTTTTTACGTTATATAAAACATCAGAAACAACGTCTCTTAAAATTTATGTTATAATGTTATGCGGGATGTAAATCGAATTACGTACGTTTTTGATATGCGATAAAAGCAACTTTATTAAAGTGTTTTTGGAAAATTTCAGCCCATTCGTTTCATTAACACATATTTATTATTTATCGTATGATATGTTATATGTATACATTACCATTTATATTTGAAGTTTATTATGATGTGTATAACAATGGTGCGATTTGAATTTATTTTTATTTTCCTTCGACAACAACAACTGTCGTAAAATTCCAATAGGACAGACCTACAATAATCTAAAGATAAGTAACGACAATGTTGTTGTGTATGTCACATATTTTCCACTTGTGAACAATATCGGTTTGCGGAACATGCCCAAAACAGTAGCTTTGACATGATTTTGAATAGGTTGAGGGAGGAATAAATTATGAAAATAAAACTTAGTAAATAATATGTTTCCCTGAGTTACAAATTTACCAGAAACTATATCAGCTTTAAGCAATGCTTTAAGTTGTATTCAAATGTGAGTCGTCATTTTTTTAAAGATTAGAAAATATCAAAATGTTAACAAAACGTATGTATTTTATAAACATAAAACAATGTTTGCTATGTGTACACTGCATAGGTATCAGCATTTGAGAAATGGAGAGAAAACCGTAGACTATAGTATAAAAATTAACTTAAGCAACGCGTAATAATAAACTGTACACATTTTATACTAAAAAGTTCTCAGAAAACCAACGAAATTATAAATTATTTGGAGCCTAAATCTTTGTTTGGTTGGTTAGCGTGGTGGGAGACATAAGCGCCGAAACAAGATAACCAAAAAATAAATCGTATCGTACAAAAGCCCAAATATCCTAAATACCTGGTAAATGAATTATCTGTTTATGATAGAGTGTTAAAGTTTTTATGTTATAATATACAAAATAAAACAAGTTATAACTTTTATAATACAACTGTATATTTTTCCTCTGGAAAGGAAATTGAGGAATCATAAATATATATTTTTGTATTGTTGATTCTAAAGCGATGAACAAAGTTATCCCCGAAATTGTTTAGAAAAAAAAACTTTTATCCACCCAAAAAACATATCTATGTTAACATTATATTGTTGGTATTTGTATTCTGGTATTCAGTAAGCATGCGAATTTTTTTTAATCTTTACCATAAATTAATTGTACAAATTAATTACAAATAAAGGCATTTTATGCATTTTGTTTATTGAACAAAAACATAGATATTTAAGAGAAATGGCCAGTTGTTACATACTTACATTTTACATATTATTATATATATTGATTCTAGTACAAATCCCACACACATTTGGGCTGAGATTTCGGACAAGGACATTACGCAAACTACAAATGCAGCTGAATCATAATATTTGGTCGGTTTATATTATAATATTTAATGTCTTTTAACACTCTGTTCAGAATCTAAAATCAACCACACTGTTATATAAAATATAAATATAGGTAAAATGTATATACATACATATAATTTTTTTTGTCAATTCTGTCATAATAATAATTATATAGTTTTATATTGACACCGATGACATGTTATGTTCACACCTTTGGCGCTTTTATCACACAGCCGGTTGAAAGTGACTCATCTAGCAATGTCTATTCGAGCCATCGCAACGTTTCGTTCTCCTAAAGATTTCGACCCCATCGTCTCCTATACTCTGGTGGGTACTTATCCAATACGACATATTATTATATTAAACTCGTTCCGGGCTAAAATAACGAGCTTTTGTACCGCCTATGCATGCGTATATATCATCATATCGCCACAAAGAACAGAACCGACCATAAGTCAGACTGCAATGCGTACAGCACGGAGACTTGCACACAACAATAACATCAAGAGCATTTACGCCGGAATAATACATAGAGTAGTTTTTTTTTTTGGGGGGGGGGGGGGGGGTAATGGGAGAATTTTTTTTCGATTGAAAAACAGACGCCGGGGTCGGCAGGGCTTATAATAATAATGATAATGATAATGATATAACATCACCTGTCCGTGCCGTTATGATTCATTACGTTCGGCGTTTGGCTTGAAACTGTGACATAATGTCGCGGCGTACGTGTGCATTATGACGGACGCACGTTGCGGTCGTCCTTTGTGTTTACGTGCACCGGCGGCGGATCATAATATCCTACGTCGTGTGTGTGTGTGTGTGTGTGTGTGTGTGTGTGTGTGTCTTTGTATATTTTATGTATTTGTGTAATTGTGTACCTGTGTGTATGTGTGTGTGTGTCCGTGCGTGTATATTTGTGCAAGTGTTGCGTGTACGCGCGCGCGCGTGTGTGTGTGTGTGTGCACGCCTGTGTTTGTGTGTGGCGCGCGCTGTGCGGTTGCCCGGCCAACGCGTCTACAAACCGTATACGCGCGCCGCCGTCGACTGCGACTGCGACTGCGACTCCGACGACGACGAGACGACGACTTAGCTTGCCCGTCGCCGCCGCGTGCATCACACGGTCGTTCCCGCCGGTCGGTCGTCCCCGTCTGTCCGTTGCCGCCGTTCGTTCGCGTGCGATTTCGCGTTTTTCGGCAATATTCCGATCAAGCGACGTTGTCGTTAGTATCGTTTTGGTTTTGGTTTTCTTCCACTCGCTCTTCCGTTCCCGTCCGACCGTCGTCGAGCGTGCCCGTGTTTGGCGCGTTTTCGCGGTTTTTTTTTTTTACACTAACAATATACATACAGGTAGGTTATTACCTGTGCCCCGATGTATTTACCGGGTACACGTTGTCCGTGTTCGTCCGATCGCTCCAGACACTCGTATAATCGCGGCCGTCGGTTTTGGCTCGTCGTCTTCCCGACATCACTTGTGCGTACGGCCCGTTTAAATATTGTAAGGCCGACCCGACTCGCGATCGGTCGCGTGTGACTTCTCGTCGTCTAGGCGTGTGGACGCAAAACCCGAGAGTAAAATTTAAAACCTAAGAAAAAAAAAGTTCGATCATCACGTGCGGGCATACACACACACACACACAGACCGTCTGATGTTATAGTATAATTCGTTGGTCGGCGTCGTCTCACCTGTAAACTTATAATTCGTGCTCGTAAAACCAGAGGTGAGTAACAGTCACGCCGAATCCGTGAAAGTCCGTTTCCGGTATGATTTGTTATAATCGATATATTATATATCTATATAATTTAATACAGTAGTAATATTAACGTTTTTATGAATAGTACGTTTATACCTAACATGAAATAATATTATGATATATTATAGTGTATCTACCCAAACATAAAAGTGTCCATGTACTTCACACGCGTCGTCGACTACGTCGAGATTTGGTCAGCGCGACAACACGGGAAAAATCATTTATCATGGTAGATATCCGACAGCAGTCACATGTGCGCTGACAAGCGTAATCAGTTTTTTTTTTTTAGGTATTGCTCTACGTCCGTATATAATAATATTTAACATTTTTAATCCTTTGCATCTAATAACAATGAAGGGTAGCACCTGCACTGAAAAACACACACGAGTATATAATATATGACAGTCAGTCACCTTGTTATTCTTCAATATTATTGTGAGCATTTGTTGATGAGATCGGACTGCAGATTGCGGTATAGGTATAATACTCGTATATTATTACATCTATAACTTAGGTTATATAATATGTAATATATATTATTACGTATAGTACCCGAGAGCGTTATCAAAAAATCATTTCTTTGCATTCACACGATTTTGGGTTACGAACCCGTTGGTTACTGCGCAAATTCCTCCGAATAAAAGAACCGCCTATAAACTTGTTGGAAAGGATTAGCAAAAGGGTTCGTATCGATGAGCTTACATAAAAAAAAAAACGACGAAACCAAACTATAAACGAAATTTTCCGTCCACGTGTATTCTTCGTGCATGGAATCGTGAACCTTATGAATAGATTTTATCTTTATCATCCTCACCAGAGTAAACAACTCGTAAACGAAATATGTTTTCTTTGTTTCATAGCCTCTTGTACGGCCAGATTAAATATAAATATTAAATCATCAAGATGTTGTCAAAATATTTTTGTGATTATATTTTATACTCAAAAATGTAATGGATATTTTATTTAAAGTACATATTAGTTTATAAATTAGTAATTAGTATTAATATTCATAATCTTTAATTGATAGAATTGTCCTCTGAATCGGGTGAATAATTGAATTATTTAAATAGAAGTTCTCATTGAAATGAATAATATTACACCTTATAAACGTCCATAGGTGCACATATCCTTATTTCTTAGATAAAAAGTAACTTCGATGGAAGGTTTAAAATATAAATATTGTATCCAAACGACTTTTTTTGTAGATTAAAAATATCCTTATATTTTTTTATTGACAAGACAATAAGTTCAATTTTTTAATTTATAAATTTATAGTATTAATAATAATATTATTTTATACACTTCATTCGGAATATTTTCGTTCTACAATAATATGTAATATGTTAGTTACACACTTTTACAAACTTCTAGAAAAAAATGTATTCTTTAAAATGGTACGCATTTGAATGTAAACATTTTTACTAGTTTTTTTTGCTAACAGAAAAATCAACAAGTATTTTATTGAAAAAATCTTTGGCCTAGATGATAATTCATAACACATTTAATTTCATTCTGTAACCATAGGTACAGGATTTGATATTATGACATGCATGTTCGGTCTAATAATACTTGGTACTTATGATGTATGAGCAACCACGTTTTTTATGTTGTATTTTTATCCTTCAAGATTACTTTTCTGTTCAGAGATGAACTATTGAAAATAGTTAAAATAGTTGATCAGGTGTATTTTTGTGTTACCTAATATTTTCGATATGAGATCTTCGAAGTATGATAAAATTATAGTAATTGGATCATACAATTATATTCCAAGACATAATTTTTTCAGATAATATAATAATAATATAATAATAATAGAAAATTCATGGTTACCTACGTCACTACTTGTGGTGCATAAAAATTAATCCAACCGTATATTCTAGAAGTACTTCTAACGTTCCGTCTCCTTTTCCGATAATACATCATTGTTCAAAACGATGGCAACTGAATGCGTTTCCACATAACTATTGAAAGTCGGTAGGTAATAATTTTCGAAGTATCATTTTAAAGTTTATAATATACTTGATGATAAATTTAAGAGTTATTGTTCATCTATATAGACTCAAAGAAGTAATGCAATGACGCAAATAATAAAATACGATCACTATAGCATACCACCATTATTATTATTATTATTATTATTATCATTATTTTTTTTTTTTTTCATCTTGATCATATATGAGGAATATTCAAGTTTTTTATATTCGTTATTTTAATTATTATACATTTAAGCAACTTCATTTGCACCGTAAAAACAAAATAGGCACTAAATACATTATCATTTAGGAGAATTTGTTACTTACATTCTACAAATAGTAGGTAGGTAATAAAAAAATACATAATATAATCCGTGGGATTAATCTCTAATATAGTAGGTGATAAACTAATAAGAAATACCTATAATCGATGTTTTCTATTTTCACTAAACCATGAATTGTGCGTTTATATAATCAGTTATAAAACATATAAGATGTATTATTTTCTTTTGCGAAGAGCAAAAATAATTAGCTACGCTTAAACTGACCCTGAGATCAGCTCCGATAGTCTCTCATAAAGTCCCGAAAATAGAGTGAATCAACTTAGCCGGATCAAATTCTCAGTTAAAAGTATGCATTTCGTAGCCACTTCATGAAATTGATCTTTTCATGAAAAGTTGTCAATTTCATAAAGTGGAAGAAACTTTTTCCCACTGTGAAATATTTCACTAAACTGTCACTTTTCCATGAAATGGTCATTCCAATTTGACATAGGGTAATTTTTTTAAAAATGTCACTACTCCCTTTTTGAATAAAAATATTTACCACACACAACTGTTATTATAATTATTATTACTAGGTAGGTATTAATTGTAAGAAGACTTCAAGACTTCTTGAATTTGCATGTTGTTTTTTGGTGGTAGTAAATTATTCTAACTAAGATATTATGTATAATAACGTACGTTTTGTGAAAATTGAAATTATATACACAGTTTGACTTTGCATAATATTTCTTCGTGTTTGGAAATGTGTTACTATGTTAGTATATATTTTTTTTTGGTTTTTTAAATTGTACACCTATTTTAATAATTTAATATTTTAGGTTAATACTCAATATTATTGTGTTTTTATAAAGTTATAGGAAAAATATTTCCCAAAATGAATTATCTTTACATAATAATTGTTTTTATCGATTAATGATTTAAATCGAAAGTTGTACGATTATTGCCATCTTAACTTTAAGTTCTATAAAAAAATAAAAATCAGTAAGTGTTCGTGATTGCAGCGATTTTTATTTCATATTCTAGTATTATGACTTATTAATTTACATATGTTACTTTATATATACCAACAAATTAAAGTATATTTATTATTTATATACATACAACTTACATTTGTATAGTATGTAAAAAACCGTGTATGGCAATAATTAAATAAAAGGATTAAATTTGTGTGGTAAATGTTATATTAAACAAAATAAATGACCACATTGTGAAGGAGTGACCGTTTCGTAAAATATTTTCGTATTTCATGAAGTATGAAAAAGACGTTTCATCTATTTCATCCATTAACTTTTCATGAAAAGATATATTTCACTAAGTGGCTACGACATATACACTTCAGGTCAAAGGATTAACATTTCTCATGCTGTATCTTTCTACGAATTACACGGTTACTCCTTTTTTTTGTAAAACTTATCACGTCAATATATTACGGATATAGCGGTCCCTAAAAATAACCTATCCACCTTCCTAAAGTTTACGATTGAAATCGAGTATCCTAAAAACGCCAATTGTTATATAGTTTCAAAACAATTGTTTGAGTCTGGTTGTAAAATTTTTTATAAACATTAACTATTTTAAATACTGTACATCATATGTATTTTTCAATAGACGCATTATAGGTATGCGTACGGAGATACACCAATTAGACACTTATTCTATTTCATCATTGTTATTATTATTATTATATATTCTTGCTAATACTGTATAAAACAATATGAATACATGTATGTTTCAAAGTATATTATTATAATGAGGGCTGTGAATTTGTACGTTCCAAAACTAACTTCTTTTAGCTTATTGTAAGACATAGCTTTATTCGCATTTAGTTAGAATTTTGTAACATGGTTTCTTAGGTATTTTTCCCTTTTTTTTTTAGTATTTCTAACAACCATTTCGATAAATCAATTCACACCGAATTTATAATTATTGAATTTTTAGAATAATTATGTGTAAAATCATCTTCCATATCTCCTTAAATAAGTACATTTTATATTTTAGTTGGGCTTTTGAAAATTCAACTGCATTTTACACAACGTTGTAAAGTATTTTAAATACATTTTTAATGTTTTATAAAGCATTCAATTCACAGCCCTATAATATTATTATAATATAATAGGTTTCGCTGATATATATTGTATTATGAAAGTAATAACTAATGTAGTTGCATAGTAAATGTACCAAACATTAAGTAAATATTTTATTTTTTTTTATTTTAGTTGTCTGATGCTATGTAGCTACGTTTAGATGTTTAGATCAAACAAAGTGATCGTGACCACATTGGCATATTTTCAAGTATATCATCGTATAGACAGTATGTCAACAGTGAAATCGTCGAATAATATATTTACATTAGTTTTGGAAGCTGCGATTCAAAATTTCTACCTACGTATTTCGATTGAATCATGTTAAACGAAATTATATTTTGTTGACTATCCATTTTTTATTTTTCAGAAAAAAATGTAAATCAAAAATATATTATTTGTGTGCCCTTGTTCGAATCAACACAATTTTGTACCGATTATGAATACAGCAGAATTATGGTTTAACATTATTTGATGAATATTTATTTATAAATGTAAACAATATTATAGAAATATTTTTACTGCAGGTACAATCAATAACGCATATAAAATAGGTGGGTATTCAAAAAACGTACCAAAAAAGATATCCAGTAGAATTCAATCAGAGAGACAAACACTAAGTTTAGCAG